ATTTGGTAATTACAATATAGGTAAAGCACTTGCCATCATAAAATACTTTAAAAAAATAAAATAAGTAAAACCCAATTATCAATAACTGACTGCAGCTATTCTTCATTGGATCCTTTTTGAAACTCATGGCCAGACAAAGAGTAATCTAAGAGCTTGACTCTTTAACAGGGATCCAACTTAAGCCTCATTAGTTCAAAGGAGTTTTCCATTAGTCCATAATAATTAAGAAATAATTGTTGCAGGCTATACTTTATTGTAGTTTTAACATGGGTAGGCATTATATACGTGATTATTTTTGCCTGAGCGATAGCATACAATCAGTTCTGTTAACCAAGCAGTTTTAGATTTATATTAGACCCTGTTTCAGACTTTGGGGATTTAATCACTAAAAAAGTTAGAGATAACCAGACTATTTTAGATTTAACTGGTAAAATTGAGAATGGAAATGGGTAATCTGTTTTCTTTTCCTGGTAGCAAAAAAGAGCTGTTTCCTGTAAGTCTGTATATTGGCTGCTTCTGGTTCTTATCCATTTAAGGAACCAATGATTCCGGAGAGTGCAGTAACCTTGCCTCAGTCCATTATTGTCAAGATATCAGTGATTTTCTTTTTTTTCTGACAAAAGTCATTGGAAGTAATCTTACATAAAACAAATTTTGATATAACCAATCAAAAATGCTATCATAAATAATCTGGGAACAAAAAATTTTACTTTTTCAATTGTAAATTTTGCTACTATTTTTCTTTCAAGTATAAAACTAAAGTAAAAAGTAAAAATCTATTTTATTGAAGTATTACGTGCCATTTGAGTTTTGAAATTAATTTAAATTATAAAGTATTGAAATTAATTTTTATTATAAAGAATCAGTATTTATATCATTTCTTTGAGTTCTTAATTTTTTCTTTCTAAATTTTTTTATTAAATCTAAAGATTTCATACTTGATACATGTAATATCATTTTGCATCATATTTGTATTTTTTCATTTCAGCTTCTTTTTCTTGTACCACTGAAACTTCACAGAATAATTACATACATTTTGAAGTTGTGTACCTGCTTTTGAAATTATTTGAGGAATTTCCCCCCCCCCCCCCCCCCCCCATTTTTCACTTAATTCTGATCTTGATGATTGTTTTCCAAAATTTTCAAAGATGGTACTGATTTTGTGTAATCAACTCCTGCAGTTTTCAATCTCAATCTTTTTAACTTCACACAATAATTGTACAAATATTTAAGTTGTCCACTTGGTACTATGGAATTGTTTGATAAATTTTTTCCTGACTTGGGAACTAAGTAATTTTTCATCAAAGGTAAAATAAATAGTTTTTAACCCATATCGTTTGGAATTCACAGAGAGTTTGTAAATCTATAGAGGCTTTTACAAATTTTGGGACTATACATGACTACTATGTAAATTAGTAGTAAACCTTAAAAATGAGATATTTTTTATTAAACTATGCTTCAAAATATTTTAAAAATATTGATTTATATGTGTTTATTATACTATTACTACACTGTACTTTTTTTCTTACATTTGTATAAGTATTTTCATATCAGATGTCTGGTAACATATATAAAAGCTATTATCTAGAGCTCTGTAAATAAAAAAAAATGTAAACATAGTTCTAAAATATACTTTTAATGAGTGGAAGAAATTGTGGGGTACAGAATACATTTCGTAAATTATCAAAATACAAGTTACCTATTTTAAAAGCATGTCTGGTATTTTTACAGTACTTTTTAAATTAATTTAATAAATTATTTGTATTTTAAATTGAGAATTTCTTCAGTTTTCATAATTGGAAAAATAATGTGAGATGCCTTGGAACATTCTGGTGACTCTTGTACTTTTTATAATGTACAATGGAAAGGACATTTCATTACTTAGATAAAATGGATTCAGTGGACTGATTAGCATAAAAAAACTATGATGGAAAACCTTTGAAAGCAGCCAGGATAGCAGCTCCAAGGAAGATGGTCAAATAAATCTTCAACCAAGTCTGAGGCTTTACCAAGAAACTAAGAAGGCAAGTTTATTTAAACCAACTATTTGTATACATTTTCTAGAAATATTCGACAAGAAGTGCATATTAAGACAACACGCCAGCACCCTTCTGATCTTCTGCATGCAAAACACCATTGTATTAATTTTAATAAGTTTTATAATTTAAGTTACCATTTTCTTGAACAAGATTTTCGATCAAAATATTTAAAACTTCAAGGGGAGACAAGTACAATTAACAGCAAGATTTGTTTCATTCAATGGGATATAACTGTTAAATTTGCACATCACTTTTGTGCAGTTAAATTCCAAACAAAAACCTTTGACTTGTTTTATTTTTATTATGTCAAGTTTTCTGTTTAGTCAGGTTAATAGTTACTCCTTGCTATAGATCAATGACATTTTGTATTTATTTGCATTACTAACAAATTATCGAATTAATTAGCAATGTTGCTAATTATCAGATGTTTTTCATTTTCTGCTGCTAGGCGAGACATCTCTGTCAACAGTTTATCTTACAAACTTGTGTTGATACTATTGTGTACATTTTGTAAGAAATCAGAACATTATATAGTGACTTCATATTTATAGAGAAATGGATTTGTAAAATATATAATGTCTTTTTTAATTCTTTTTAGGTTCTTCTGTGATATGTTTTCATGGTGTGGGAATAAGACTTGGTGGTCTAATACAGCATATACGAAGGTATGTACCAGTATGTTAGTCCTGTTTTGAAAAAAGAAAAAGTATTATAAAATGTATTTGGAAATAGCATGTGCTCTAAGCGTGAAGGTTTGTAGGAGTTTGGTAAGAAGTCTTTGCTTTCTTTAATTGCCTTTAAAGGAGTAAATTTAACTATCTGATTTGATTATGTAAAAGTTTGTTGGGATGCTGGTTTGCTGTTCTAAACTTCTATTACATATTTATAGACTTTTATTTAATTTGTCACTGGACATTTAGCAACCAACAATCAAATGAATCAATCATTCAAAATATGGAATATACATATAGTATATCAAAAATGATTCTTTTAAACAATCTTGAATGACTATAATCATTTTATTTTTCAGGTTAGCATCACAGCTTGTCTGTAAAGATTGAAGCTGGGAGTGGGCATTGGAGCTGACTTTTATGGTAAGAACCAATACAAAAAAAACAACATGTAAAAAAAGAAATATGTTAGACATCTACCATTGACTTGTTTTTCATCCTTTTCTGCTAATAAAGACTGGTAGTTCAAAAAATATATCAGCAAATCACTTTTAAACGAAGTAAGAGAAAGGTTTTATGAATCATGATTATAATGACCAGTTATTTATTATTTTGCATTTGATATTATTTCAATTTTCAGATTTTGACAATTACTTTTAATTCTGTATATTTCTTTTTCAGGTAACTGTGGATGCATAAAAGGGCTATGTGATTTTACTGTAACAGTAAAGAATGTAATTCAGACTATTTTTGTGTATGTTTGAGAAAATGTTTATAATTTTTACAAAAAGAAAAAAAAAAATTATGTACAGGTTCTTCATTTTCAACAAGATTGGAAGTTGTAGGTTAATAGGTCTTTGAAATTTCAAAAATTACTTTCTATTTTCTGTTCATACTCATGTCTAGGCAAAACACTTCCAGTAGTTTAAGAATGGAGAATCTAAAAAAAAAAAGAAAAAAAAAAAAGAAAAAAATAAAAAAAAAAAAATGTTCAATTATTGAAATGTTTTTTATTTTTGCAAATTGTAATATATTTTTTTACCTTTGTGTCATTTTTAGCTGAGTTTATAACAAAGGGTATATTATTTTAAGAATATTTTACAAGAAGCATAGTTGAAAAATATCTTGATGAAAGTAGATTGATTGATTTTTGGTATTTAACACCACTTTCAGCATGATTTGCTATATCTTGGCTGCCAGTTTTTATTTGTGGAGACAGCCTGGTGAAAACATCCCCTTCAACAGAGAAACTGGCAACTAGTCAATTAAGATTGACGTTAAACACACCTACAATGTGAGGGTTCAGAGTGTTGACAGGCTAGTGATACAGTAGTTGAACTACTTTGACCATTCAGCCACCATTACTCCATCCACACTAAATATGTTATTGAAATGTGTTGAATATTTGTAATTTAATTATTTTTATATTTTGATTTATACTATTTATGTTTTTTTGTTATTTATAACAAAGATGTGGAATTTTAACAAGGTGAAATTTAGGTCAAAGGGAGGTAATTTATTATATTGTGTTTAACTTCAAATACTTGAAATTCCCTCAATGTTAGATTTTTATTTACTTGGATACTCACATTTATGCACTTTTTTACATATCATATGTTTTCTAGATAATAGAAATTTAGGGTGGGAAAAATTATGTGTCACTTAAAATAATTACGTGAATTTTTCAAAAAGTTTATTAATTGAAAGTGCATCTGATATTTTTTATGTATGTTACTTTATTTTCTAAAAACAAATGGACACAACATAGATTGACAATAAGATATTGAGAAGAACCACCTTGTCAGCCAGGATAGCAGCTCTTAGGAAGATGGTCAATTAAATCTTCAACCTAGTCTGACTCTTTACCATGAAAATAGAAAAGGCAAGTTTATTTTAGCCAGATCTTTTAAGATAACAGACCCTTCTGAAATATTGCATTTAAAACACCATTGATGAATTAATTTACCAGTTTAGTATTTAAAGATACAAGATACATGAACAAGATTTTCTATTGAAATATCAATAGTAAATCCTAAAAATAGTCATTAAACTTCAAGAAAAGACCAGTACAATTTAAAACACGATTTTGCATTCAATGGGAGATAACTTTGTAAAATATTCAGATATTTTTTGTGCAGTTAAATTTAAATCTGATGTTTTTTTACTTTATCTTTTATATTGATTTAAAAAAAAAAAATGATTTTATACAATTGTCTACCTGCAATATGAAATCAGAACAATATTTAGTAAATTTTAGGTTATCGGTAACACATAAATTGATTTACAAAAT